GGGGGAGAAGAGGCTGCGGAGACCAATCTAGAAGCCAGGTGAGATCAAGGATTGGTCGAGTAGGCTATTTCTTCTTTATTTGCTCCCCCTAGACCAGGGGTGGGGAACCTTCGGCCCTCCAGCTGTGGTGAAACTATAAATCTCATAAGGCATTGCAAGATTCGCACAGCCACAGGCATGACTCCCAGAGACAGATGCATCATGGGATTTGTAGTTTTACAACATCTGGAGGGCCAGAGGCCACCCATCCATGCCCTAGACAAAACAAGCACTTAACCTGTGCAAAGCTGGGGTAGCCCCACTGCAAGGGTTAAAGGAGAACTATGGGGTCAGGGCTTTTTCCCATAGTTCTCCTAAGGGTCACGGGAGAACACAAACTAGCGTCCTCCCATGACCCAAAACTCAGTATACCGCGAGCTACAGCTCGCGGTATGCTGAAACGCCGCAGGCGGGACGGATCCCGACAATTACGAGGCCGAGTGAAAATCACTCACCTCATAGTTCTCCTTTCATTTTTTTTTTTTAATCATGGAGTTCCGCTTTAAGAGCAAAATGTTTAAGTAAAGTGTTAAAAGAATAGAAAAGAGAAATTGAGAACAAGGAAAAAGTAAAATGAGAATGTATATTGTATGGCCAAGAGACTGCGGACCCCTGACCACCACACCTATACGATATGGCCAAAAGTATGTGACCCGAGTCAAAAGGATGGAGTTCAGGTGTTTCCAGTGAAAGGTAGTGATAATACTACAACATACAAAACATGTTAGACAATTGTCCACTTCCAATTTCATAATAACAGTTTGGAGGAAAGTATTTTTCTGTTCCAACATGACTGTGCAGACCAAAGCCAGCTCCATAAAGACATGGTTTTATGGGTTTGGTGTAGATCAGTGGTTCTCAACCTCTGTAACCTCAGGACCCACATTAGTCCTCGGTCATTAAGTCGTGACCCAAGTTGCACTGCAATGGAGTGCAGTGTGAGCTGCTGTGCTGTTATGGAGCTCCATCCATATGTGCATCCACTTGGACAGCTTCCTTGCGTGCCCTGTAGAGGTGCCGGGAGCCAGAGTTTGATGTCACTCCGGTCAATGCTCCTCTACAGGGCACCCAAGGTAGCTTAAGCAATATACATATGGATGGAACTCCCTCACGACCATACCACCCAGCCCACCCCACCTCAACACCGGGCAGCAAATTTTGAATGGCTGCTTGGCACGAGAACTTACAGTGCTTCACTAGGGGGAGGCTGATGAGCCTCTCACCTAGAAAAGTGGAAGGCATGCGGTGACCCACTGAACACAGGGTCACGACCCACTTTTGGGTCACGACCCACCAGTTGAGAACCAAGGGTGTAGAGGAACCTACTCAGAGCCCTGACCTCAACCCTAGTGAACAGCTTTGAGATGGACTGGATCACTGACTGTGAAGTGTCCATGAACATTGGCCACACAACGTGAATAGAAAAAACGTAATTGAAGATTCAGCTAGAAAAGTTACAAAATCAGAAAGGAAATGAGAAAAAAGTAAAGCAAAATATAAACTGCATGAAAAGAAGATGCAAACACAGGAAATCAGGTTGATGCAAGAATGACAAATTCAATAACAGAGAAAAGGGAAGGAATAGAATGTGAATAAGAAGATATCACATATTTGTCAGCCAGGAAGAAAGGAATATAAGAACATTTTTAAAAGTTAAATTGAGTTACATGACAACTTCATATCACATCTACGTTATAACCATTGAGAAGCACACAGAATATTCCAAAGGCCAGTTGATTAGGTACACACCATGTCAGGTGTGAACATGGATATTTGGTCAGATGTTATGCCACATGGTTTGGTTATTCCACTCAAAGATGTGAGATGTTCAGAAATCCAGATGATTTGAGACTGTAGAGTTGGTTTTGCCAGATCATCTGTCTCAAACAACCGCTCTTCCCAGGTCAACGAGAAAGTATATAAAGAGGTAATAAAGCAACAAAACATCCAGTGAAAGAAGCATTCCTGTACGTGAACTCCATTAAGGGTATTGAAAAAATGATTTCAATTGCCTGTTGTGAACGGACGTACAGCAGCAAGTAAACGTGAACCAAAGACTGGGTATGAACGAGTAAAACCTTTGACCCAACATCTAACACATGATGATGCTTGTAGGGTCCGTGCTTTGTGTGAACGGTACTCCATGGATCCATCCTGTTGTCTGTGGTGCAATGACTTGTAATGACTTCCATGTGAAACATAATAATCCAAAAGACCGCTGGATAGTGACCACATTCCTGTAATCTATCTTGAAGGCCAAGTATGCTGGCCTGCATCCAACCACGTTCATCAAAGAGCTTTCTGACCCGGTCAATAGGCCAAACCAAGAGCCGTTTTGTCTCCAAATGGTCCTAGAACATGACATTTTTCTTCTCCAGTGTAGATGAACCCAGATTGAATTGATAATCCCATAACGGTGAAACAAAATGAGCCACTTGCAGAAATTATGTTGCAGCATCCAAAATACGACCAAACAAACTCCAGCAATTTAGCAACAGAATCCAATCTCTGTTCACCATCTTTGGAGACCAGAAGAGTCCATAGCCGATTTCATCCAGGCTGGGTTAAAGTCAAGTTCAGCCTTGTACAGGGTGTACCTAACTAACTGGCCACTGAGTTAACATTAGGTATAGGCAACCTCAACAATCCAAGTGCTAATCAGCAATAGAGAACATGGAACTCAACAGTTGCTTGGACCCAGTATAGAACACGGTATCTGAACTTACCTGAGCATACTCTCTTTCCACTGCAGCCTTCTTCTGACTGAAAGTCCTATGGAAAACAGAAAAGAACAATTAGCAAGTTTACATTAAAAACTCCAATTAAAACAAATATTACCCTTACCACTGAGTTGGTTCTGCACGGCCAAACATTGGACAAAGACACCCTCTATTTTCTTGATGAAAACTGAACCTGAACTTTCTCTTTCTCCATATGATTGTTACAAAGTTGAACATTTTAGTAAAAACATTTTACTGAAGGAGCAATAGATGGAGTGTTGAACACTACTACATATGGCTATAAAGTGGACCTGTACTTTGCTCATCCAAGGCCCCTCTTCTAAATAAAGGAGGAATCCCTTTAGTATTCTAGAAAGAGAATATACTGATGGCAGAAAAGACAAAAAGGTCCATCAAGCTTTGTTTTTTGGGGTAGACCAATGTTTAACCCAAGCATGTTCAAATTCACTTATTACCTCTAATAATAATAATACCTCTATTACCACTAACTATGTTCAATCACCCACTACTCTTTCAGTTAGGGAAGAATCGATACTAGTATTGGTGCAGGTACCAAGTATTTGGGCGAGTACTCGTACTCACCCAAATTCTCCGATACCAGAACTTCCAGCCAGGGGAAGATCTCCCTCTGACCAGCAGTGCCGAGGGAGCATGGAGCCGGCTTCCTTTCCAATAAGGAAGCTGGGCGGTGGGTTATGACCCGCCTCCTGATTGGCTAGGAAGCCGGCTTCACTTGTTGCTAGGCAGCCTGGCTTCCTAACCAATCAGGAAGCCGGACGGCACGTCATGACCAACCTCCCGGTTTGCGGATTGGTCAGGAAGCCACGCTACGGAGCAACAAGTGAAGCTGGCTCCCTAGCCAATCGGAAAGCCAGGAGGCAGGCCATGACATGCCCCCCGGCTTCCTGATTGGCTAGGAACCGGCTTCATGTGTTACTAGGCAGCCTGGCTTCCTGATCAATCAGGAAGCCGGACGGCACCTCATGACCCACCGCCCGGTGTCCCGATTGGTCAGGAAGCCAGGCAGCCTCGACACGTGAAGCCAGTATTCCTTTGATAGAACACCGGGTTCCCAGGCAATCAGGAAGCAGGGCGACGAGTCATGATCTGCCACCTTACTTCCTGATAATCGGGGAACATGGTAGCGGTATCAGTACTCGGTGTTGGCAAGTACAGAAAAACAAACAAATAATCTGCACTCGATACCGAAAAACTGTTATCGGTGCATCCCTACTTTCAGTAAAATTATATTTCTATAAAATAAAATTTTAATTTAATGACATCTAACATTACTCTTGAACTTTCCATGTTCTAGTTTGAGGTCATTCCCCCCGTGCTGAATGAGCCTGGACCCTTCTTGATACCTCTCCTGCCACTGTAATGAAGAGAAAACGCTGCCTAAAGACTATTCAGAAACAAGCCTAGGATGTCGATATCACAGTCCTCTGCTCCGCTCTGTGGTTCCTCCTGTGTCCCCTATATTACAACAAGACCCAGTAGTGATGTAGAAATCGGCAGAAGTAACCACTGAGCGCTGCGGAGGACAAGGAATCCAACATTCCAGGACATAGCGGTCTCTAAAGAGTCTTCAGGCGGTGAGATCTCTTCATTACAGCAATGTTCTGTGAAACAGGCAGAGGGAGAGGGGAGTACTTACAATGTCCTTTGCAGGGAAATCTTTTATTTGAAATCTGATTCTAGCTAAAGAGTCCACACTTTCCCTTCATTCCTCCAAACTGAATATTTGAAGCTCCCCTAGTCTCTCCTAAAAGGTTTTACTCCTCGGATATTGCAGCTTTTGTTGGCCATTTCTGGACATAACATTTAAATGTGGTCTAACTAGAGCCCTGTATGGTGGAATCAGGACCTCCTACTGGTGATCCCTCTCGTGATGCACCTCAGAATTCTATTTGCTTTCCCTCACTGTTTGATCAGATATAAAACTCAGGTGAGTGGGGTAGGGATGAGGAGCCGGTACCACGGAGCAGCCGCTACTACGTCGAACTTCTAAGGAGTCCAAAGGACGCCTTTCCTAGTTCACTTTATATGCTGGTTGGACTGCGACTATGTACCCAGCAGGCAAAACTGAAGCTCTTCTTCTCCCTCTCGTAATGCACCACAGAATTCTATTTGCTTTCCCTGTTTGTTCAGATATAAAACTCAAGTCAGTGGGTTAGGGTTGAAGAGCCTGTGCTCTGCTGAACTTGCAAGGGGTCCAAAGGATAACTTTTCTAGTTCACTACATGTTGAGAGGACTGTGACTATGCACTCAACAGCTAAAATTTAAGCTCTCCGTCTCTCATAATTCCCCCTCCGGCCACGTGATACACCACAGAATTATACATGCTTTGACTCTCAGCTCAGATATAAAACAGTCAATGGGTTAGGAGTAGGGCCTGAGATGGCTGCCTCAGGTGGATTCTCATTGGGTCACCTTGGGGGTGTCAGGTGTGGGTGCTGCCCCTTTCCGGCCACAGTGTGCCAGTTTGCTAAGAGCTCTTGGCAACCTGGGATGCTCTGGTCGGCGTCCTAAACCAGCTCACTGACATCACTGGTTGCCAGGAGTTGAGCGTAATGCCCTGGCTGGTGTCCTGCCCAGCACCTACCAAACCAGTGGCTTCTGTGAGCTGAGCAGGACGCCGCGCAGTGGTACCATGCACCCCCCTGTCACAAGGTAACATGCATCACAACCAATGCCCCAAACACCCCTCTCCCGGTAACGTGTGCAACCACCTCCCAATGACACCCACCCAAACCAGGCGATGATAGTGTAGGATGCCCCTGATGAGTAGCCTGTACTTGGCTTCTATGGGGTCCAGGGGACACCTGTCCTAGTTCACTCCATGCTGGAAGGAATGTGACTATCTACTCAGCAGGCGAAATTCAGGCTCCGTTTCGCGCTCTCTTGATGCACCCCACAATTTTATTTGCTTTCCTTCATTGTTTTCTCAGATATAGAACTCCAGTCACTAGGTAAGGCTTGAAGAGCCTGTACTCCGCTGAACTTGTGAGGGGTCCAAAGGACACCTTTCCTGGTTCACCACATGCTAGGAGGACGGTGACTGGGTGGACCCCTCATCAGGCAAGGCTCTGTTTCTCCAAATAGGCCGTAGTGGAGTTTTAAGAATTTTGGTCATTCCTTGAGGAAACAGGCAGGATATTAAAAGCTGAGCGTGCCAGGACTGCAGCAGGCAGAGAGAAAGTACAAGAACTCATATGTGGAAATAAGGAACATTCATTATGACGATGGTGCAGTGTATCAGGAGGAAAGCATTATTCTGTTTTCACTCTTCGTTAACAAAATACGACACGGGCCACCTCTCAACAACAGCACACGGATGTGTCCGAACACGCCTTGCACACACTAATCTGTCATGGAATCCGACACTTCCTGTAGAATATCAGCAAAACAGAGACCCCCATCACACGACAGCTCGTACACCTGCGGGGTCACCAAGCACCATGGCATGCAGGAAATTCCTGTGGAAAATAGATATTCCCTAACACAAAAGAAACAGAGAAAACCAACCCATCCACATAGATGCTGATAAAGCGACTTCCTATTGAAGGCACAGGCTCCAGAGCCATCACCCTACCCCTGGGCTTTACTACCCAGTGAGTCACTGACCTGCAGTAATCATGTGCCTGTCAGGTATCCAGACACCCCATTAACCGCACTTGTCCCAGGCCGGTGAAGAGTAAAGCAAACATATGGAGCAGGGGGGGCCACATCAACCCCTTGAACCCTCTGGGCCAAGGGTAGGCAAACTCCAGCCCTCCACCAAACTCATCATGCATCTGCCTCAGAGTCATGCCTGTGGCTGTGAGATTCATATAATGCCTTATGAGTAGAGGGGCACCGAAAAGAAAATTTCAAAACCGAAACGAAACCGAAATAAAAAATATGTCAGGCCGAAACCGAAAATGCTTTTTATTTTAACTTTTTCAAATTTGTTTTAAATTTTATTTTTTTATAAACTTTTTTAATTTGTTTATATTTATTTATTCATTTTTTATTAAATATTGTTATTTTTTACTTTACTTTTAGGGGCTTCTGGGAAATATTGGGGGTCTAAACAGACCCCCGATATTTCCCTTTTAAAAACAGAAAAAGAGATTGAGAACACAGTCCTCAATCTCTTTCTGTATCCCCTGTTATCAATGAACAGGAATCCTCTATATTGAGTGTTCCTGCTCATTCATAACATTAGGACAGAGTATGTTTACTATAACCACAACTATGAATGAACGGGAAGTGATGTAGATCACTTCCCATTCATTCATAATTGAGGATATAGTAACCATACCATGTCCTCAATTATCTACAAACACTCAGCGATCACTGACTGCTTGTACCCGCTTCTCCTTTCTGGATCAGCTGTCACAGGAGGCTGAGCGAGCGGAGCGGGAGGAGAGCAGAGCCTCCTGTGAGAGCGCAGGCTGTCTCCGCCCACACCGCCGTTCTCCTGATCGGTCACAGGAGGCTGAGCGGTGTGGGGAGGAGAGACGCCGGCCGCTCACAGCGCTCTCCTCCCGCAGCACTTAGCCGCCTGTCACAGTTTCTCTTCTCCCCGCTGGGACACAGAGCAGCGCGGAGGAGAGAATACAGGGATTCACCGCTGTATTGGCCAGAAAATGGCACTTTCGGCATTATGCCAAAAGTGAAATCCGTACTTATGAGAGTTCTAGTTGCACCACATCTGGAGGGCCAGAGTTTGCCTTCCTGTACTGTAGACCCTAATCACACAATTTAGTGCGCCCTTCAGTGCTACTCCAATTACTCCAATACACCGAAGGACATTATATTTTGCCTTCCGTGGTACTTCCTTTTCCCTTTATTATCAAACACATTTTTCCATTTTCATGATTTATTTATATAGCACCGACAATTTACTCAGCGCTTTACATAGCGCACATTCACATCAGTTTCCGCCGTCAATGGGAACCGGGGACCCTTAGTGCTGCAAGGCAGAAGTGTTACCCACTATACCACTGTGCTGCACATTTTTAGTAAGGGCCGGCAGGGTGCTG